CTAAGAATTTGGAGTCGATAACCTTAACCAATGGAGATCGACAAATAACTGAATATTTTATAAGTCTGAAAATTTTTTTTCTTCTATTATACCATAAAATCGATACCTTATCATGAATATTATTCTCGAGCTGAAATAGTTTTTATCTTGTTTTTTTCCAAACACTGCAAGAATACCATATTCTCCAACTTACCAGTCATATGCATGTAGTGGAAACAAATGATAACTTGAAGTAAAAAATATATCGGCAAATTGGAAAAATGACCGAAAAGACTTGACTTTGTACAGTGAAATGTAACGGATATACGAGTAATTACAGAAATTGTATAGTGGGACTGATGCGGAACCACACAATCATTGAAGCCGGACAAACAGTAGTTAGGAAGATTTACATTATCTGTTGAACATCTGGAGAAGGTCATAGGAGGTGAGCGCAAAACACTCAATCGAGACAGCATAACTCGGCCGTCCAGGCGTAGTCACTATGTATCACCTCTTCCTTTACATATCAAATATATAATCATATCCCCAGCCGAAAAGTGTTCTTCATAAGTTCATAAAAAGTATGCTACCGACTGTCATAATAAGACAAGTCAGCATGAAAATAATAAAATGACTTCTACATAAGATTGTATGGATTAGGTAGTCATATCATAGCGATTTCACCATATTAGGTCGCGTCTGTTATTCTAGTAGGATAAATAAATGTACTTAATACCGACTTAGACAGTGATTTTACATTGGTAAGACCGACTAAAGAGACGCACCCTCTTGTCATTGTGACTTTAACGATTGATCTTTACTTATTTTAATTCATTATTCTATTAGTCAGTTGATTAATGCTCACATGTATGATGTTATTGCAATGTTGGTCAGTTTTCGCACTTAGGCAATTAGCTATTTTCAACCGCACACTATCCCCTACAGTTTTTTCTCATATGACAAATGCCTACAAGTTTACGATTGCCGAATTCCATGGTTAAACAGAAAATGCGAATATCAGAATTTTAATCTGAATTTGGACTTCTTGCAAGTTTAGATTTCGTTTAGAAAGTTCGTTCAGGCAATGCAATGCAGTTGGCTAGAATTACTTTCGGATTTACGTCGAATTAACCTGCAATGCTACGTGAATCCAATAACTAACTTGGTAACATGCCATTATTTAATTCAGATTCTCTTGGATTTTTATCGCATTGGCCAATTGGCTGTTTCAAACCCTCATTATGTAACTGCGAAAGTAATTCAGGCGAGTTGCATAATTGCATTAAATGACTTTGTGTTATGTTCATGATGCTTGATGACGTTTTGTAGATACTTTCACACAGATTATTTTTATACTATACCAATCTCTAGTCAAATTCATTTACAAAATGGCATGACCTGACATCAGAACATTATTACCTAAAATATCCACACTACCATTAATGGTATGTGTATATCCCGAATCCTTGAAGGCAACACATATTGTGCCCTAACAATATTCAGGACGGAAAAACATGATTTGTTTGACTGAACAGCAGTCTGTGCCGCGGAAACACGCCTAATTACGCTAAACGAGGTTTGGAAAATTTGCATGATATCATCTGAGTTTGTTAGAATGTTTGGATTTTAGCTTTTTTCCTGAACCTCGGTCACTGATGAAATATATATGTTATTATTAATAATAGTCACCAATTAAAACTTGGAATGCTGGTTTGACTGACATTTTTACTAGATAAAAGCTATATTTTCCCCCTATTTTTTTGACTTTGGAATGTGCAATACTTAAACCTTCATGACTTAAGAATTAGTCAAATTGATAGAGAGCATTAGGAATTGGATGTCGCATAAATATATAGTCTGCCAGACTGTGTTGTTACACGTGATGTATAACCTATATTTTTTATGCTGAAGAGAATGCTAGCAACACACAAATATATGATATTCCGCATGCTATTGATAATGGCTAACTGACAAGAGAATGTCAAATAGACGTTTTTTGAATCGTTAACATCAACAGAAGAGTTAACTAAAATAAATGAGCTGTCGTGGTTGATGAACGCCATCTACATTTATACTTAGCTTACGGTAGACTGATAATTCATCATCAAACATAGACTAAATAGTTGAACAGGCATAATTTTTTATATTTCCACTATATCCGTGATAAATTGGAGATTGCAAAAATTATGATATTGAAATCTCTAAATATTGCACAGAATACACCTGACATTAGAGAGTTTTGTCGGACATATAAAAAACACTTAACATAAACATTTACTTTTATCAAGATTGAGAGTAAATCTCCTGGCATAAAGATTTACACAGCATTGGAAATAGGAACGAAACCAATCAGAATATGTTAATGTGAAGAGCTAATTTCGTTATTTATTCTTATTTAGCTATATTACGTTTTCTAACATAAGCCACTTGGAATAAAAACTTTTACTGAAGATATTTGTGATTCAATATGTGATGCGCTTGGCCAATTAGACAGGCCGAATGATAACAGCAAGCTGCTGGTCAGGCGCCGACTGCCGTATCTGAGGAACAAAACATATGCCATTAGTTGAAAGTTCGTATTTATTTTTTTAAGAAAGGTATATATAAACGAGTGCACATTTATCCTGCAAAAAGCTCCACCCTTACTCTCATATTTTCTAAGCAAGTGGCTGATTGCATATGAGCTTTTATATCAGGCGCAAAATCAAATTACCACGTATAATAATAGAACGTTTATTTTTTATCTGGCCTGTCAATGTTTTGCTTTACAATTATTATTATTATTATTATTATTATTATTATTATTATTATTATTATTATTATTATTATTATTGACTGCAATTTATCCCGTTAACAAGTTTATATGAATAGAAGACATCATCCTAAAAAATAAACTTTATTATTGCGGCCAGGAGACTGTTATAGTATTCTTTTATTACAAGCACTCTCGCTAATATATCGATAAACAATGAACGTAATGATGATACTTTTTGCGGCAAACTTGATAATAAAATATATTGCTTTATTTCACATTATCAGTTGTGTGTAATTACAGAAGAATAAACAATAAAATCGTGCTTTACTAGAAACAGAACTCTCTTTTCGTCAATCTCCATGGGTAAAAAGGCATTAACTTCCCTTAGATTTATTTGGAAGTAGAAAATAAGTACCCCTCACAAATACTGAAATCTTAATATTTAACTGATTTATTTTCTTCAGAAACGATTTTTGACTACACTGGTCGACAAGTAAACCCGTCAAATAAGTTTATATACACCATCATGTTTATCACGTAATAGATTTTATTACTTAACAAAAGATTAATTTCATGTAAATAATCACCTGTTTCTTTAATTCGTCCAAATCACTGACTTAAAAATGTATAACATTCCACAAAGACGAGTTGGTTAAAGTTGTCACACTTTGCAATACAAACGGGAAACTAATACATATGCCGATACGTTAAGAAAACAATACTGTGGATTTAGAAGGGAAAAAAGACAACTAGAATGTATATTAGATCTTTGGAGGAAAACAAATAGTGAATGAACTTGTGACATTGAAACCAACTTCCGGCTATTTATGAAGATAGTTTCAATGGCAGGCTGAAATCAGCTGGAAAGAATTCAAGAACTAGTTAGCGCTGAATGGAGGTCGTTTCAGTTTAGAATGCTTAAATATAGTGCATTCGTAAACTCACGTTCAACTAAACTCAGGACCTTCAAATCTCTTAGATGGCACGATGTTTTGAGATCAGAGTCACACTCTAATGGTTCACATCTCCATCAAAGTGATATAGACAAAAACATCTGGTTGTTGTGACAGACATTTTTTCTACCCAACCAAGTTCAGAAACTATACGTTCAATATTTAGCAAACTTCACTTGAAACGTTCTGTTATTCAAAATTAGGAATTAAGGTGGCAGTTACTATCAATCCCTATATATTTATCAACCAGTCTAAACGGAAGCTCATTCTGTTGACTTTTGGTAGTTTTCGAATAAAAGTATTAGTTAAAAGGCGAATAATAGGCGAGAGAATTGATGACACTTGAAGTCACAAGATGGAGGAGATAATAATGTCATGTAAGCGATTAACAAATAGAAGAACCATGATTGGATATCCCTTCTTTGGATTTTATAAATGATATACTACTGGATTTATTAAGAAATGTTTAGCATTTTCACGCATCAAATAGATGTTTAAATATAATACAGTAAAACGAGTATTTCCAAAAAGTCACAATATTTGAGGTCAACAAATGTTCCAATGAATTTATATGGCAATTAAAAATTTGACCAAACAATGATTGAATACTTGGTAAACTTTACTTTTATTTTTAATTAACTCCTGTTGTCCAGTAAATAAATTATAAGCCAATAAAACCTGTTATAAACTGTTAGATTTTAAGGGTGATGCTTTCTTTTGTGATTATTTGATTCTTAATATTCACTAAGTTTGTGTTACGAGCTTGTGAAGAGATTAAAACTGATAAAAACAGTTTCATATATGACTGACTTTGAAATAGTCGCTTGAAATACGCAGAGTGGTGAGTAACCAAGGTCAAGTAACCACCCTTGAAACTCACTTCTAAAAGCATAGGATATTATCTTTCATTTGAAAGAAGGGAAAATCAGAAACATGTTGTCATTTCAACCTGAGATGAAGGCTGTCAGAATCCTGAGTACCAAGACTAACGTTACAGTAATAAACTTTACAATACCATGAAAAGTATAAAGTACATGCTGTCTGCCTTTTCTTGATGTTTTAAGCTAGACATTTTACCATGTTATAAAATCAAAGTTTGAGACTATTTTCCTTCGAGTCTGTTATGATGGAAATACATTTTCATCGACAGAGAGAGAGAGAAAGAAACAAACTTTGACATGATTCGGAGTACCGCAGTAGTTTACACTATCAAATACTTCAAATGAACAAAAATCGCAGAAAGCGGATTTTTAAAAGTATACAAAAGCCTAAATGTTTTTTAACGAGTAAGCGTATATTCAAGGATTAATTTAATGAGTTGCTAATGTATTGGGACGAACATCAATAATCTGAAGGACAGTAACATTCCCCTGGAATACTGAAAAGAATGTGAAAAAAATAAGTACTAATTTACCTCGCAGTTTGTGGTGTCTACGACGACGATGAAACTGGTACCAAACTTTAGGGTGTTCAAGAGTTTTTTCAATCACTACAGCCTCAATATACACCTGATGCACTGGTAAAATTGGTCGACCGATAATAGTAAAGTCTGATGATCCTAAAAGTAGGACCTTCTGTAATTGAACACGATCACCAACGTCAGTTCCATAGAACGGTGTTTTGATCATAATTAAATCGTTATTAGTTACTTTGAACTGTTTCCCTGCAATAGCCACGACAGCGAAGTACTGGGAACGGTTTTCGGATATGGAAGAATTAACTGAATCATAGATACCTGTAGAAAATTAAATATAAATATTAATATGTCAGTCAGGGTATCTGAAAAAATTAATTACTACAATGTTTGGGTAGTTCATTGTCTTATAACCACAGTTGTTGTCTTGATGCAATTGTAGAACTAATGTATTGCAGTGACCCAATTGAACTAAATCGGTGGGAGGATTTGTTCTTTTACCATCTATTATGCCAGGCAGGTCAGTTTGAGAGTGCTAGTATGAGAAGTGGTGGACTCTGTCCGAGGACTTAGTCGTAATGCCGACTGCCTAGGAGTGTGACGGCAAAAATATATTTTCTTCAGGCAACCAGATTCTGTAGCAACGCTGCCTTTCCGAGACGAGGAGCGGGTTGCAAAAGTTCGACCCTGAAAGCCACCCACATCGTCTTGTCCCATGAATTTACGTCGCAAGCTATAAAGCTTTTTAAGCACAGAGCTAACTAGGACTACTAAAGGAAATCATGCGTGATTGATCTCAAACGATTATCCATTGGATGCTGGAGCCATGTTTCCAGATTGTAAAAACCAATTTTAAACAAGTTTTCTTTGCAAGTGCCTCAAGAACAAATATTTCTCAACAATGTTAGTAACCAGGAAACGGCAACTCATTTGCCTGTCTTATAGGGTATTGAAGCGTCACAGAATCAAGATCCCTAAGATTTCAGCTAAACGGCGGAACTGTCAAGAATATATTCCAGTCAGTCAGCTACGACGTAAGACCAGGCACATATGTGCATCGGTCCAAGCTGTCATACCTCATTAGCATAACAAGATGAACACTGGATCCATAGAAGTGGTTAATTCAGTGGTGGTATATCTCAGTACCAACTATTAAACCAGTTGGTCAATCGACAAAGTAATGTCCGCCCCAATGTAGGTTGCTATAATATCCAAAAAGTTATGGAATCAGCAGTGACATCCACCAACGGCTTGGACCAAAAGGTTATGAAACATCATTGGATTTCTATAATGTTCACTAAGTCGATAGATGTTCAGAAATTAATTCCATCAAGCTCAAAATACAATGGTGAGCAAAGACAACTCAAACATAGACTGGCAAAAGTCTAAGGAATGCTCGTGAGTAGCAGTGAGCAGCGAAAGCAAAAGAGACCGAAAAGGCGAACAACTATTTCAATTCATCAAGGAGATAGTTATTAAAAAGGTAGTTGTTAATGATATTTATGAAAAATATGGGACATTGATACGTTTTCAGACCAGAAAATCGGAATGATTCGCAGAATACCTTAAAAAACGGCTCAAGTTGGCTCTAGATACCTTCTAGTTGCTTAATAATACCGAATAACTTGGATGGGGAATTGCCGAAAGCCCGCGGCTCTTAATAAAACCGAGAAGGTCACAACTAATCTACAGCGAGAGGGAGTAGGTCATGATAAATTATCCCCTACGATATTTAAGAACTACTAACCTTGTACAGACTCTGTACTTAAATACTACTGGTTGAATCAGAAGTGTATGGAGAATTGTCATCGGAATCGTTAACATTAAGTGTCCATCAGGGTTGAACAATGTAACTGTTTACTTGACTTGGTTGTAGATATTCTCTTAGAAATAACTGTTCAGGAGTTGATTCCTTACCAAGATCACTTATCGATTTAGAACATGCAGATGACGGTTTTGTTTCGTGAAGATACTAAACTGCAGATTCTACTGATCGCCTTGAATGAAAACGTAAACATTTTTCGGATGCATTCCTATTTCTCTAAGTTCAAAATAATACCTTATGACTGGTCTACGTCAACTTCTGAAGTTACTGAGTACGTCGATCATCTACTTGGAATCCCTCGAGTAGGGGTCGCGGATGCGCACTGCTGATGAGTCCCACAATGGGACGAAACAGCCGTTCAGTGCTTCCAGGTTTTCCATGGTGGTCTAGCTTCAATTGACTCATGATCTCAACTATTGAAATTAATAAAATCTCCACAAAACCCCTTCTGATACTAATCGACATATGCTCACTAGTGACTGGCTTCATCAAGATGTATATCCTGGAGTTCTAGTGGGAAGCAGTAACCAGTGGAGTTCAACCAGGTCTGTTGTGAGATAGTAACTCACTAATGACAATGGTGTATATGTCGCTCAATTTCGTGGATTAGTTGAAGTTAGACGTTAACACCGTTGGATGCCGGCTAAGCCCAGGGTTGCTCCACTGAAACTTATCACCATTCCTAGATTAGATTAACAGCTGCTGTGCTAAGACTGAAAAACACGTTGAATAACAATTGCGTATCCCTATCTCTTCTGTTATTTATTGGAGGGATTCATTATTCGTACGTCATTGTATAAGAAATACAACCAAAAGATTCAAGAGATTCGTAAGCAAAAGATTAGCGACGATTCACGAACTGTCGACAGCGAGCCAATGGAGATATGTTAAAAGTAAATAGAATCCTGAGCATCATGCTTTAGATGATAGCATTAAACCAATTGAGTGATTCCACGGACCGAACTTTTTATGGCAAAACGAAAATAGCTGGCCAAATTCACGCGAAGAGGAGAACCATGTTTTAACCCATTTGTTTATAGAAGAATTAAGCGAAACACCGGCGTGGAGTCATTTGGACCCATTTTTGAATCAATTTAGCAGTTGTAAGACCTGGTCCAAAATGTTGAGGATATTCTGTCTATGCAGACGGTTCGTTTACAATATGAGGGTGAGATTAAACAGAGGACCCTTAATTCTTGGTAGATTGAGATTGGAAGAAATTGATAGTGCGAAGCAGAATATAATTCAATTAGTTCAAATTATCGCATTTCTCATAGAGATGGAGACGCTAAGACGCATACAGCATAAAGACGAGCACGACAATACATGTGAATCGCAAGAAAGACCGAGGAAAGGAGTAGATGGATCAGTTATGAATAAGGAAATGATACTCCATCTAATGTCTGTTGTTAAGATAATGAGAAGTAGCGTTGCGCGTAGGAGCTCGATAAAGAATCTTAATCTTTTTGTAATAGATGAAGTCATCCGAGTAGGGGGACGACTTAAGTTATCGTGCTTGCTCTTCGAGAGCAAACATCCCCCTATACTTCCTAGTAATCATATTATTGCTGACTTGATTGTAATGCACTATTATTCGCAGAGTGCGCATTCCGGCATTACTGTCAACCTGAACCGTCTTCGCAAATAGTTCTGGGTCAATAAGGTTCAAGCTGCTATCCGAAGAGTCCTGAAACGGTGCTATCTATGCAAGAAACTGAACACTACGCCATGCACACAGATTATGGCTCCACTATTCGAATGTCGCCTGGAAGTTTACGTACCACCGTTCAATTTGGTGTTTATCTGCCAGTCCATGAGAACTAACCATCGAGTCGCCAGATGCAAGGAGTGTGTATCTCGTCGACTGTCCGTTTTGTCGAGGTGAGGTCAAGTGAATGGCCACACTAGGATCCTGTATGCGTGTTTCAGAGACAAGACATAAATCAGTGGTACGATGTTCTAGGGTCTTAGTCAAGGAGGTCTGGTGGCCGACATACGGTATGTACGTTGAAGACTCCAATGTGTAGTTTGGAGCGAGGTTTCAGTAGACCTGGGAGTGTTTTGCGCACAAGAATCGTTGGCCAGGGTGACACTTGAGGAGAAGGCAAAAGAGGAGGTTTAGAGTTGAAAGTCGACATAGGAGGTATAATAGGAATTGAAGGGGGAGATTGATTATGAATACAGTGATCTTCCATGCTGCTAGAGGTATAAGGGAGGTTTCCACTTCCCGATTGCCCACACCGTGGTAGGGTTCTTCTGGAGGTGCCTGAAAAGGAAATTGGATTAGAGGTGGTCATAGTGACCTGAGAGCGTGACCGCAGTGCCCAACGGACAACTGCTTGAGGCCGGTCACACCCGACCTCTTTGTGAGTAATCTCCGTGTTAGTTCCGTACTTATTCGAACCTTACCACTGGAGATGGAAATCCGTGGGATAAGGCGGGGTGTGCATTTTTAGGGTCGACCATTTATAATCCCACAGAACCTTTGTGGGAAGGCAGAATTGCTTTTATGATGGTTGTCTGAAAGAAACACCATACTGCCGTCACACCTCTGTACAATCAGCGGTACAACGTCGCCCTCGAACCTTGGGTTTCCTGTTTTTAGTCGTATCGCTCTGCAACCGATGTTTTTTATGCTAGGAACTTGATGAACGATTGTTTCAGCCAGTACAGCTTGATTGATTCATTAGGTAAGCCCAACCATCACGTCAAGGTAGCAGCAACAGTCGGGAAATAGGAACAATAACGGGGTGGATGTGCAAGCATATAGCATACAATTCTTTTTGAACTTAGCACCTATGAACTGTAAACACGATAAAATCAGGCTGGCTTCAGAAATGGCCGTGGCTGCATCGACCACATATTCACCACTAGTCAGATCTTAGAACACAGGAGTGTCTGAACACCGATTACCACGATGCGTAATCCTGACTAGTGTTGGAGAGTTAGTCAGTCAGTTAATAACAACGTAGAACTTCGTACGTACGTACATCAGTTAGAGTTGCCACACCACATTAGCACAGAGATGCAGTGGTCAATTCAAATCCCATAGTGGTAGAGGTAGTAAGAGTATAAGCAGTAATCAGGAAAATTAGTGTTTGGAGATGTTAATTAAAGAGTATAATACAGTGAAATAAATTTGGGAAGAGAAAAAAAGAGACAAGGAGGAATAAGATCAAAATTTGGGAGAACACAAAGAGTGTATGCACCTGCGTCATTGCAAACGATTTTGAGCCAGGTCATTCTGGGTCTCTAACCATCGGTTGCTATCATCTTGCGGTCCCCAACCAGGTAGTCTACACCTACCAACATGACTCAGTCCACTTGTCAGTGACTTCATGGACTTGTGCCATGTTTTGGTCTGACCGCCCCTAGCTTTCTTCCAACCTACACCTACACCACAAAACATCGCACGTCGAGGCAGTCGGTCGTTGGGCATACGTAACACGTGTCCCAGCCATTTTAACTGATAAAGTCTCACCACTTCATCAATTGA